CATGCATCGCCAGGCAGACAGCAAGCTGACAGTTAAGAATGATGCTGTCACACAGCAGTGCATGGGCTGCTGCTCAGCAAATGTCTATTCTAAGCAAACTGATCTTCAGCACTGTTCACACTGCGATCAAATTGTTCTGATGTGAATTAATATTTCACCAGTTTTCAGAGTATAATAAAATAACAGAAACAAACTACTGGACAATACCTGTCATTTTGAAATAGTCTGTGTAAATTTTTCAAGTAGGTCAGACCATTTGACCTAAGACACTTGGCTGCAGACAGTTATTGTAGATGAGCTATTTTTATCTTAATGGCAGCTAACAGTACAGATATCCAGTAAATGAGCCCAGTATGCTAAAAACAATGTCACAGCAAGAGAAAATAATTCAAACCCAATTCAAACTACTCCATTTAATGATTGTACAGGCCTCATAAAAGAAAGTACATTAAATAAGCAGAAAAAAATCGATATGACCAAGAGGCACCTGCATATTGATCAAGGAACAAAACTGAAAAGAACTATGGCTGATGCTTCACCTGAATTAGCTGCTTCCGCTCACACAGCAGGGCTCATCTCCACGATTCCCTTACACCCCAACCCAGCAATTCCACAAACTGCTGCTCTTACTCTTCTCCAGTGCTGTAAGTTGTTCAAACAGCACTAATACTTATATTAGATGTACTATACTTGTACTGTTGTATGAAGACATAATTATAAATTCAAAAAGTAACAATAGATGCTTGGTGGATGGATGAAGAATGGAATTGTAAGTCAGCTTCTGACAGACGGGATATTTTGTGCTGCGAAAAAAAGCTAATGAAGAATTATGTAAGAGTTTCAAAAATATGTGACAAGGAAAATTACAATAAAAATTAGAGGTGTTCGGGGTTGGGGGGGGGGAATTATACCAAAATTTTTTCAATGTACTATGTATACAAAAGACTTCCAGCTCAAAGATGAAAATAGTTGGGAGGCTTAAAGACTCTGAAGATCTTGGGGTAGAATAAACTCTATAAAAGAAGACAGTGAAGATGAAACCATTATTTTTCAAGGAAAAGCTGCTCCGCCATTGACTCTATCACTCCAGATGCTCAAGGTTTGGGTTTTTTTCTTTTTATCTTTAACTTGATTTTTTTTTCTTAAAATGTACTAAAAGGCCCACAGAATTCAATAGCGTTAATACACTTAAGCCTTATCATACCTGTAATCTTATTTTAAAAAAATCACATTAGTTTATTACCTTTTATTAAACTTTTCATTTGTAGTTGCAGAAATGAAGTGACAAAGGGTAACAAAAGGATCTTGAAAGATCTGTTAGCAAAACAGCTATGTTCAATGATTGTCTCACAGTCTGTGCCAAATTCATGACTAAATTTTTACATCCACTTTCAGAAATAAGTATTTAGAACCATAACATACACCACAGCAGGAGATCTCCCCATACCTATGTGCAATGTCAAAAGAATGCTACCACAATAAAGATAGAGCAAAAATTAATTGGCAAGCATTATTTTCAGAAGCACTCATTAGAATTATGGTGGTCTCTTTTAATTGTTCATGTCCCCTATCATTAGTCAAAAATTATTCTGTCAAAAGCAAATGTTAAATTGACCCAGGTTTTTAATCAGTCCATTTACCCTTTCTGAGTCATGCCATAAGGTCAGCTTTCCCCCATTCCTCTGGAGTTTGCTGAGTGTTCAGAGACCTCCAGGGCAGATGGAGAATAGTAATGATTCCCACACTTACTTGTATATAATCTGACTATACTGTAGATTTTCAGAAAGAGAAGATACTGATTTCTGATACCAGACCCAAATCTCTTGGGATTCAGTTCAAAATCAGTTTATGCTACCAATCTAAACCCCAGCCACTGTGGCTCCCTTCCCCCCACATCTCCCAGCCACATTGTCTCCTCCCCTTCTCTGCACCTACACAAGCGTTCTGCCAAAAATGACCCCTTTAGCTTTCAGCAAGGTCAGCCCCCTGCACCTCACTCTTCCAGACATACATGCATCGGCACCTATATAGGAACAAGTACCTGTGTGTGGCAGAGATGCGAGAATCACAGCAGAACAATTTATATCAATTAACCAGACATGGAAGTTATCTTTAATCAACTGTGCATATGAACCTCCACATTAAAGCAACAAAATACAAAACTCTCTAAAGTTTTGGTCCATACTGGCATCAAGTTTCCACCATCTTATTCAGCAATTACTGTATCTATTTGGTTTCCATTTGCTCAGTAACTAATTAACACATGCATGCAACATATAAATAAGTTATTGCACAAATTAGCTGTGGCAAAACCACTCAACATTTTCAAAGCTGAAGTGCAAATTCTTTAGAGAACAGAGTTGAGCAAAGTAACAAACTTAGGAACACGAAGTACCACCTGGTGCTGGAACAAATACCTTCAGTAAGGCTAACCTCTGTGTGGAAAAATTAAAGGACCTTTTAAATGGCAATTAGAGAAATACAGATTATTCAGATAATACTTACTGTCTGAATAACTGGTAACACTTGAAAAGGTTATCAGCCTTTTTCAAGTGTTCAATCACTGCCCTTCACACAAAAGTTGCTTAAGTGGATATTTACATATTAGTAGATATTTACATATCTAATTCAGCTATTTGCTTGTCTTTTGGAGGAATGGAGATTTATCACTTGGCAAAGGAGAGGGATAAGGTTATACTGTCTTACAAGCCAGTGAAGAGCAGAAGGCACTGATCCCTAGAGCGCTCTGGATCTGCAGAGCGACCATGCTGTCTCTGCACCACATGGTGCCCAGTCCTACACTGCACTGTAGCTTTACTCGCCCCTGTAAGTGTACACGTTATTAAATGATCCACATGCGCAGATCTCATCAGAATTAAGCCTCCTACGTAGGTTTAACTGCTCCTAATAAACTATTGAATACATGTATATTGATTCAGAGTATTGATTCAGTACATTTTAGCAGGCTGGCTGAAGGGTAAAAACAAAACCCAGCACCACCCCTTTCCCCAGGGAGCTGCTTTTTTTTTATTACACATTTATAGCTTTATCTCAAAGCCAGGTTTCTCCGAAGCAGATAAAATGTTTGGTAAACTTTACAGATAAGTATTATGGTGAAATAATCTTCTATAAAAATACATTATTCAACCGAAGGGGGTTCCCCTCCCCGTTCTAGCTACACATAACTAACACAGGTGACTTTTTTTCTTTACTCCAGTATTTCATTATGGGGGTGGAAGAGGGGAGAGAGAATTCTCTGGAGAACAAATCAAGAGTTACACTTGTGGCCATGAGGGTGAGTGGGAAGGCACAAGACCGTAACATACAGCAGGATGTAGAGCAGAAAGCATCAGGTAAACAGCAAGCCTCATCACCAAGCAACTGAATATAAAACTTCAAAAATTATAGTACACACCCATTATAGAATAATTTTAATGAACTTGCAAAGACAGTATTTCAGACTAATTTAACCAAGGAAAACTAAATGAAATCTCTCTGAAATAAAATAGGCTATACAGATGGAAGTCTAGTACTGTGGGTTTTACCTCTGGGAGTTGCAGCCTGCACAAGATTCTATTCTTTCATTACAAATCTGTTGTGTGGGGGGCGGAGGAGGAGTAGCTGTGTTACAGGGATAAAAAGAATAGCACAATTGTTGTAAGAACATCTAGTTTTCTCTGTGTATTTCTATCCATCACAATCCATGTTCAACTTCACATCTATTTTTCCTCATTACCTTTCTCTATACTGTGAGAATAAAGAATATTTTAATGCTGGGGGGGAGCCACTGCATAAAGAAAAGCCCCTGAACAGGACATCGCTAATTCATTAGCGATGATCATTAAACAGTCTTCTTTTTAAAAGAACACAGAAAAACAAAGCAAGCTGATCAAGCTCCATCAGGAGAGAGAGGAGGACTGGCAGGAATAGCAGCTGTGCTCTAGCTCAGATAGGATTCGTGTTGGCAGAACTGTGAAATAAAGCCTGAAACATATTGTGCCTTTATCAATCCTGCTTTCCCAATAAAAGACATCCAAGGAGTTTAATGCTTACATTCATAGGCTATTTTACTTTGGAGGGCTTGTATACAACTAAATTTATAAACGTCCAAGATGCATTTATTTAGACATGCTGCTCCTTCAAACAGTGCCATCCAACACATACACTAATATAGCCTCATTCATCTGAGTATCTTGAAGTGCTTCATAAACACCAAATGAACAGATGCCATGGATCTGAAAAACACTGCTGCCTGAAAATTTTCTGCTGACTTTGTTACAATAATATGCTTTATTATAAAGTAACAAAGGTTAGTGCAAGGGGAAAAGTCTAATTTAAACTATACATTTAACAGCATTTTGCATGTATCACTTTTAATACTATGTTTTTCACAGTCCTCCACTGCCAAGAAAAAAAACCCTAAAGGCTAAATAAAAAGACCCAATGGTTTCTTAAAAGGAAATTAAAAAACAAGTAATAAAATTTATCAGACATATACCAAAACCTAAAATTCAGACAAATACAGAGGTATATGTAAGACACAGATGTAAGAAAAACAAATCCTTTTCAAATAAATGGGAAAATGAACATTTAGAATTATATTATCTAGAAATTTATGCATATTTTGTACATTGGTCATATTAAAATTTCCTTTTATTACATTGAGATTCTCATTTATGAGCATAGAACACAAAAAAGGGGAAGAAAAAACTAAAGAAAGGACAGAGAAGTGTGTAGGAAGATCTCAGAGTACATAAATATAGTGTTGTTCTTTTTGTTCCCATGTAGAAAGCACAAAAGTAGATCACCTGTTATATACTGGAACACGGCGATATAAAACAACTTCTTCTCTTTTGACTATCTTGGGGGGGATCTTTTTGAGCATAAGATTACATAATACATGGTGCAACTACCTCAACCTGCTTTAAATAAGTAACACTTTGGAATTTGTCAATCTTATGAGCCAAAACTTTCACAGCTCAGACTTTCAAACCTGAAACTGGGGCTAGAAACAGAAGCTCAAGCCCCGAAATTTCAGGAATGCAATGACTTGTTATTTTCTTCGCAAGAATTCAGAGAAGAACTTCCCTCGGAATGGGATCACTGCACCCCTTCCTTCTCATGTAGGATCATTTATCCAGTGAAACTGAGCAGCATAACTATTTCCTTCTGCAGGTATGTATATCACTTTATTTTTCCATCTACCCTCTTTCTGCATCAACTTCAGAACCCTGATTTCTGTGCTGTCATAGCACAGTAGACTATTACTTTATAAATAAAGCTTCAGATCAGAAAGGAAGAAGAAAAAAGTGTCATTCACTGTGATTCAGGCAGGTGAAAAGGCTGCAGTGTAATGTTCCAAGGCAAAATTGCCTTTTCTTTGTGCTCTGCCCATATCTACACAAGCTGCCAATTTATTTAATTCATCCTCGAACAAATGGAAAAAGGAATTGTCCAAATAGAAATCCAGTTATAATAAACATGAAGTAGAAACTGTAAGACATCTTTGCTTATTGAACTCCCTTTGAGACTAAAAATAATCTTCTTCAGACCTAAAAATGCTCTAAGTAGTTCAAAATCCAGCCTGATATGTTCAGCCTGAGGACGAGATCACCCTATGCATAACTCAATGCGTAACAATTGTAACTGGAAGTTTGGCATAATAGTATGATAGAAACTTTTCCACCATTCATAGGTCTGATTTATTAACAGGTTTTACACTCACCAGTAACAGAAGTAACTGTAATACTTAGTATTTTACTAGAAAGCTAACACTGCTTTCCATTTTACCAGAGGTAGATGTGTTTGCTTTGGTAATAGAGATAGGAGCAGTATTCATTATATTCACAATGGCAGAATTATAATTTTATCTCTTATATTGCCATGCTCAACTACAAAGGCAATTCTTTTATAATAAGCATCAGGTTAAGGCACACAGCACTGAATTCATTCTAATAATTATGGGTACTAGTGCAACAATTCACATTTTTTCAATGCATCAAAGATCATATCCAGACTACAAACAGAAAGGAGAGCATGACTTCAACCCCAGTTCTTCATTCATACTGATTTTAACATTAGTTCAAGTAATGAAAGCCTAAAAAGAACTAGAGGAAAACAGGAATTTTTCAGGTCATTTAAAACCAATGCACAACTGCATGGAGTTGTTTACTCACTTCAAGTACGAATGAAGTACCTCTCGGTAGGCAATGATGGGCAGCCTACAATTCAAAAAAGTTAATAATAAATAATGAAAGGTAAATTTTATGTGAGTTTCATGAACTGTTAATTTTTTCAAAGCAACGTATTTGCAAAACATCCTTTAAGTTGTGGAAACTTCTTCCTGGCTGCCATTTTCACCCCAAAAACTGATGGGGTACCTTGGAGACTTGTGTATTTTATCATTATCAAGGGAGAATTACTCAGTACCTTCCATTAAAAATCCTGTCTTGAAATTACAGTATTTGAGTCTATCCAAATTCCATTTTTCACAGTAATTTTTCCTCAGGTCTTTAAAGCTATCGATATTTACACAGTCAATCATGCTCATCTTTTAAACAGTTAAGGAAAGGAAAGCACCACATTCAGATGCAACTGCTACAGCGCTTTCTTGTGATATTTAAAAAAGCATATTGATGTATGAAGCTTGAATGCAGAATCATTTTCCCTACTGCTTTTCATTCATCATACAAAGCTGCAGTTTGTAAAATCGCTCAAAAATTACAGAGACTGTGTTTTTTTTAATAACTTCTAATAGACAGCACTTGCCTACAGTTCCCGTCTTTAGACCTCACAGCATTTCTATAAAGGGAAGAAGTTGAACACCTTGTCCAAGTAACCTGTCCAAGTAACAAGTTTACATTTAAACCAAAGTTAAAACCCAAGTCCTGCGAACAGTGCTGTAACAGAAGCATCACTCTTTGCCTCTTGGTACTGCCTTGGGATTTTGTCCAGTGCTTACATTATCTCAAATTCAGCATTCTTTCTTGGTACCTTTCTAGAAGTAGGATTCCACTTTGGAGAATGCATTATTGGATATTTTGACAAACTGTAGCAGGGAAGTGGGTTTCAGTTCTCTTCTTTGGTTCATTACACTAAGGTGAGTAACAGTACAAACTCATCAAGGAGTAAGAACTCAAAAAACAAAAAATGAGGAAAGACTTTTCAGCAGGGCCTGTTGTGATACGATATGGGGTGATGGTTTTAAACCAAAAGAGGGAAGATTGAGGCTGGATGTGAGGATGAAATTCTTTACAATTAGTGTGGTCAAATCCTAGCACAGGTTGCCCAGACAGGTGGTGTCACCATCCCTGGAGACATTCCAGGCCAGGCCGGATATGGTTCTGGGCAACCTTATCTAGATGACAATGTCCCTGCTCATTACAGGGGTGTTGGTCTAGATGACCTTTGAAGGTCCCTTCCAATCCAAACCATTCCATGATTCTATGGTTCTATAAACTGAAGGGAGACAATTCACCATTGTCATATAAAAAACTTGTAACTGTATTCCCACTCCAGTCTGCAAAAAGCTTTAGTCACACTTAAAAATCACAATAGCGGATAGAAGTGTTAGACATCAATTTTTCAGTGTACAGTTGCCAGAAAGGCCACAGTATAAGACCAACTGATAAAATAACTATTTCTACATAAGTACTGTTTCTGGTGCCAGAAAAAGTGTGGTTCGCACCACTTCTAGAAAACTAAAGTCAATTTTATAACCACTATATACTTCTTATATACATATGTACACTTCTTATATACATATATACACTTCTTATATACATATGCCCGTTCATATGAAATGTACCTATGGCATATGTATCATAGTTACAGGAGTTATAGTATAACTACTTTGTGCACACTGTTCAGCTGAACAAGACAGACTCAGGAGAGCACTGCTTGTCAGTGGCAGTGATGACGGCAGAGTCTGAATCCAGTTAAGCAACCACAGATCTCTTTAAGAGCAACTCAGCATGTCTTGTTCCAGCTGAGGCAGCACCCTGAATCCCCAAGTCTGTTAGAGGATCGGGAACGGTGCTGAAAAGGCCATGGGAGATAGACATAGCAGGGCATTTTGAGCACCCCTGTCTTTATCAGCAGAATTGAACAGCAGAGTTGGATACTGCAATTAAAACTATTTGGATACTATTTTGTTCTCCCAGGAGCAGCATAAAGAATTTTCTCACTTAAAGTTCAAATATCATTCAAATACCAAAACAAATAAATAGATTCCTAACTCAGTAGGAATTCAAAAGCTGAAGGGCAGACAAAGAAAATAAAATAAATCTATTTTTCTGTCTGGAGAGTAAAACATTAGCTGCCTGGCTGCTCTCTTGAGCCTCAAAGAACAAGTTGGCCCAATCTGACCTGCTCAAAGAGTCAGACTGATTTGGTATCTAGCAAACACTTGGTAGATAATAGTAATCAATGGAGATTAGAAACTATACATTAATCTGTGAATGTGTAATACTTGTCAAAAGAGAAACCAGTATCTTGTATTATGCTGCAGGTGTCAGAATTACATAAAAATCAAAAATAAAAGCCCAAGCTATAAAATTCAGCTAAATTCACATTTATTTCTAACCGCTACTATTATTTCACTGTGTCAGTAACCAATAATGCTATCCCGGAGTAGAATGTCGCTGCCAATTTTACAAGCAAGCAATAAAAATAGTTTTTGCCAGAATTAAAACTGCATTTCTTTCCATTTATTTATTCATCCAACAGATGCATTATCCAAGACTCTGCACAAGAACAGAATATTAAATTATATCAGCTGGATGTGTTTCTAAAAAGAATCTAAAAAATTTAAAATATTAGTAATTCGGTGAATTCATTTCTTTAGCATCTTTGACGAGCAGTTCTCAGTGATCTTAAAACATACTTAAAAAATGCAGACACTTTCAAATAAGCAGTGTAAGAAAAAAATCAGCTTTCTATCATCATCACAGATTTAAACAAAGATCTAAAATTACAGATTAGTAATTTTATGTGGACTTTCTACAGTCCACAGTTCTCTGCAGCTCCTGGTTCATGGTATTTTGTAGATCAATCCCATTTCCATTCTCATTTCTTTGTGTTGTGGGTGTGCAAACCTACTCCAGGCAATTTTGTGCCCAGCTGATCACAGGATACTATCCAGCAAATTGCCATGCATGGCAGTCAAAGCCAAAGATGTTCTATTGTGACACCAAAGTAAAGAAATATTTATATCGCTGAAGATTAAAAAAAAAAAAAAAAATCCAAAATGAAAACTTGAAGCAAGGTTTACAAGTCAAGCTCTTCATTTCCTATTAAAGTGACCATGAAACTCAACATTCAACATTCTCTGTCCATTTACAGCCAAAGATCATTAAGAAAATAAGGAAAGCCTATATAAATAATCCTGAAGAGCAGCTCAGTCACCCTTGTAGCAATTCACACAACTTATCTGCCCTTGCATCCGACTCCTTTAGTTCTCATCAAAAATTTATCCCACCAACTCCATGCCTGCCTCCTCCTAAATAGACGTTTCTTCTTCCTTCAGCCACATCACACACACACAGAAGATACAGGTTATATTGGGAAGTGTAAGAGAAGGAGAAATACACCAGAATACAATCACCCAATACATAAATGAAATGTCCAGTATGGCACAACCCAAAGTACTGTACATAAAAAGACTGCATCTACTTCGTTCTGTTTGCAATATCGATCTGTTTAACTGCTAGGTCCTAAATGATTATAGGTTTTGTTTAGCAAGTATCTTTACACTTAATTTAACTTCCTATCCGACGTTAGAAGCAACGGCTCCTAGATGTCATAATCCAGGTGAAATAAGTCTCCAAACATGGTTCTGTATTTTTGCCCTGTGTTTAATAATCACATCTGCATACTGCAAGGCCTGTTTCCTTAGAGATGGGGGGGAAGGTAATTTTGAAAGTCTGGATGATGAAGTAGAGATCTCTATAGTGTTTCATCGATAGATTTTTTTAAATCTCATTAATTATTTGCAAGTTCTGGGGGGTTGTTTTGCTCCTCCCGCCCCCTTCCAATGCAGTTGAGGGCTTAAAGCAATTTAGATAGAAGTAAGGTTAGTGTGAGAAATAATTTATATTCTGACTTTGCCAATACATTACTGAAGGGGAGAAGAAAAACCAACGTCCTTGAACGATTTAGATACATTAACTATTTTT